TCCTGCCAATCACAGCCAGTGAGGGAGCAGGGGTGGGACTGAGCCACGCTCTGTGTGTCCCATAGACACAGAGCTTGCTGAGCAGTGAGCATGCACAAGCAGCTTAAACTGAGGATATTCGACAAGGGAGAGGGGCCACAAGCATCGGCGAGGGACCCGAGAAGATTGGGGGTGCTCTGTGCAAAACCACTGCAAAGAGCAGGTAAGAAAAATAAAATAACCTTTAGAACCACTTTAAGTCTGATAGCAAGGACTTTGGCCAATATTTTTATATTAGTTGGAACAAGGGAGATGGGATGGTAAGAATCAGGAAGAGTAGGGTCTTTACCCTTTTTAGGCATTACAACTATAGTGGCTTTATACATAGAATCTGGCAGAGACCCTGAGCTGAGTGCATCATTAAACGTCTGAAGGAGGGCAGGAAGGACAATGTCAACATACTGCTTATAAATTTCAATAGGAAGACTTATCACAACCCAAAAAACACAAGCCATCGGCATTTCCAACTCCTGTAGCATCAGAAGAACATCAAGATGCACTTTGTCTACACTTAAGGTAGGCATTGCAATGTGCTCCAAAAACACTTGCAAGTTGGAGGGGGCATAATGCACCTTATATGAATATAACGCACTATACAATGTGTGCAGAATAGAAACCTTGAGTTAAAGATACGCCAAATGCTGAGATCGGGCAATAAGGAGCAATAATCTATAATAATAACGTTCTTTTTTAGATTTGAATAAAGTAGAAATTAACTATAAATGTTTAGTAAGATGGTATTGAACACCTAATGTGGCACATAAGCAACGATCACAGAGTTCACCTTTATGTAGTAGGGGTGTGGGATGGAAGGAACAATGGCACATATATGGTGGGTGTGTCCTAAAATAGAAGAGTTCTGACAAGGAAAAATACAAATGCAGGAGATAACGGGAATTATAATATCGAAAGACCCTTGGGTCTGTTTATTTCACAATTAGGATTTTACAGTGAAAATATAAAAACATGATGATATTTCATTTAATAAACGCTGCTAAAAGATTGTTACCTAGATTTTGGCAGATAAAGGAAACCCCCAAAATAAAAGACTGGATAAACAGAGGAGTATATATACAGGATGGAGGAACTATACCATATTGGAGAGAAACCTGGGGAAAATGGCTAGATTATAAAACATCTAAAAGATATTTAGAACAGATAGGAGTGTAGAATAGGGGAAGGGGAAAGATTGAAGGTTTCGTTTTCCTCTCTTTATCACTACTGCTAGGTGGGGTAGGAGAGAGGAAGGAGGAGGAGGGATGGAAGAGGTTGATAGAGGAACAAGATGAAAAAAGAGAATAGCAGGAGGTGACTGGCCGAAAGAGGGAGGAAGGGAAGGGATTTTGTAAAAAAATTAGATATGGAAAATGTGTGATTGTAACATCTGAAATAATTGTTTTAGAAGGTAAAATTATTGAAAGGAGCAATAATCTACACGTCTTTTCCTCTTTGCCAAGGACAGGTACTTTTGAAAAAACTGATTAATAGACTTTTTGGTGAGCAGCTGTTGTAGAACAGAATGTGCCTCCGCCCACAGTGATATGTTGGTAGGGGAGGGAGGAATAATATATTTAGCTTCTGCAGGTTACATCAGCTTGTGGACCTGCTCTTCATCCCTTTTGGTGGCTGATTTTATGAAGCTGACCTCTTTGATAAGGAGACCATAAATAAATGTCTTTATTGAGTATCTGTGGCATCTTTATATACCAAGACCGAATCCACTGGGACAGTTATGGTCTTCTTTAGGTAGGAAATAATTGTACTCACCACCTGTGAGCCCTATTTCCTGTAAAACACCTTCTCTATTGGGTACTGATTAACAAAACGCTTTGGTAGTAACAACACCTTTTTTGAATGAGCCCAACTGGTACTGTAAATGAGGGTGTGCAGGGACCCAAAACCAGTGACCTTAACCACTTGCCCTCCAGAGGATTCACCCCCTTCCTGACCAGACCTACTACATATTTTTGGTAAAATAAAATCCCAATAAGTGTATACTGATTGCTTTGTGTGAAAGTTATAGCATCTACAAACTGGTATAGATCAGGGGTCTCTAAACTTTTCAGCCCGAGGGCCACATTGTAGATTTTACAAATACTCGTGGGCCGAAACAAAAAATATTTTTAAATGAATAAACTTTAGATAAATGAATGTTTTAACTTGGATCTTTTCTGTAATCGGAATAAAGTGATTGAAAACAAAACAAAAAAAACTTTAGTAAAACAAAGCAAAAACATTTGAAATAGGCTTGAGCCTTTAATAAGGGTTTAACAAAATTAAAATCAGCCTGCACCTATCAACACAGATCTGACAACTTAACCGGTTCCCGGCAGGCCTATAGCCCAAAGGCGGTCGGCAAAACACCTCGTCCCTCCGGGTGGACGTCATATGGCATCCTTTCAGGCATGCGCAGTGTCTGTCACCAGACACGGCCGATAACAGATCTGTGTACCGGCCCCGTTTCCAGTACCATGTGACCAATCATAGCAGGTCACATGACAGTTGTATACAATGGATGGCTTCCTTTCATGCCATCCATTGTATACAAGTGTGTCTAGCTGTGAATGGTCACAGCGATCACATGCACAAGCTGGGCCAATCACAGCCCAGCTGTGTCATGTGATTAGCCATGGCCAAATCACAGCTAAGCACAAAAAAAAAAAAACTCTGGATGAATCAATGTCATTCAGGTAAATGCTTGGTTATAGCAAAGTACCGTATTTTTCGCTCCATAAGACGCACCTGACCATAAGACGCACCTAGGTTTTAGAGGCGAAAAACAAGAAAAAAAAAAATATTCTGAACCAATGGACTGCAGACACAGTACAGGAGATGACCAGAGACTGCGGACACAGTTCAGGAGATGACCAGAGACTGCAGACACAGTGCAGGAGATGACCAGAGACTACGGACACAGTGCAGAAGATGACCAGAGACTGCGGACACACAGATGACCAGAGACTGCGGACACAGTACTGGGGATGACCAGAGACTGCGGACACATTGCAGGGAATGACCAGAGACTGCGGACACATTGCAGGGAATGACCAGAGACTGCGGACACATTGCAGGGAATGACCAGAGACTGCGGACACATTGCAGGGAATGACCAGAGACTGCGGACACATTGCAGGGAATGACCAGAGACTGCGGACACATTGCAGGGAATGACCAGAGACTGCAGGGAATGACAGAGACATTGCAGGGAATGACCAGAGACTGCAGACAGTGCAGGGGAGACTGCAGACAGTGCAGGGAATGACCAGAGACTGCAGACAGTGCAGGGAATGACCAGAGACTGCAGACAGTGCAGGGAATGACCAGAGACTGCAGACAGTGCAGGGAATGACCAGAGACTGCAGACAGTGCAGGGAATGACCAGAGACAGACTCAGACAGTGCAGGGAATGACCAGAGACTGCAGACAGTGCAGGGAAGACAGAGACTGCAGACAGTGCAGGGAATGACCAGAGACTGCAGACAGTGCAGGGAATGACCAGAGACTGCAGACAGTGCAGGGAATGACCAGAGACTGCAGACAGTGCAGGGAATGACCAGAGACTGCAGACAGTGCAGGGAATGACCAGAGACTGCAGACAGTGCAGGGAATGACCAGAGACTGCAGACAGTGCAGGGAATGACCAGAGACTGCAGACAGTGCAGGGAATGACCAGAGACTGCAGACAGTGCAGGGAATGACCAGAGACTGCAGACAGTGCAGGGTGACCAGAGACTGGGAATGACCAGAGACTGCAGACAGTGCAGGGAATGACCAGAGACTGCAGACAGTGCAGGGAATGACCAGAGACTGCAGACAGTGCAGGGAATGACCAGAGACTGCAGACAGTGCAGGGAATGACCAGAGACTGCAGACAGTGCAGGGAATGACCAGAGACTGCAGACAGTGCAGGGAATGACCAGCAGACTGCATGACCAGTGACAGCAGGTGCAGGGAATGACCAGAGACTGCAGACAGTGCAGGGAATGACCAGAGACTGCAGACAGTGCAGGGAATGACCAGAGACTGCAGACAGTGCAGGGAATGACCAGAGACTGCAGACAGTGCAGGGAATGACCAGAGACTGCAGACAGTGCAGGGAATGACCAGAGACTGCAGACAGTGCAGGGAATGACCAGAGACTGCAGACAGTGCAGGGAATGACCAGAGACTGCAGACAGTGCAGGGAATGACCAGAGACTGCAGACAGTGCAGGGAATGACCAGAGACTGCAGACAGTGCAGGGAATGACCAGAGACTGCAGACAGTGCAGGGAATGACCAGAGACTGCAGACAGTGCAGGGAATGACCAGAGACTGCAGACAGTGCAGGGAATGACCAGAGACTGCAGACAGTGCAGGGAATGACCAGAGACTGCAGACAGTGCAGGGAATGACCAGAGACTGCAGACAGTGCAGGGAATGACCAGAGACTGCAGACAGTGCAGGGAATGACCAGAGACTGCAGACAGTGCAGGGAATGACCAGAGACTGCAGACAGCAGACAGTGACCAGAGACTGCAGACAGTGCAGGGAATGACCAGAGACTGCAGACAGTGCAGGGAATGACCAGAGACTGCAGACAGTGCAGGGAATGACCAGAGACTGCAGACAGTGCAGGGAATGACCAGAGACTGCAGACAGTGCAGGGAATGACCAGAGACTGCAGACAGTGCAGGGAATGACCAGAGACTGCAGACAGTGCAGGGAATGACCAGAGACTGCAGACAGTGCAGGGAATGACCAGAGACTGCAGACAGTGCAGGGAATGACCAGAGACTGCAGACAGTGCAGGGAATGACCAGAGACTGCAGACAGTGCAGGGAATGACCAGAGACTGCAGACAGTGCAGGGAATGACCAGAGACTGCAGACAGTGCAGGGAATGACCAGAGACTGCAGACAGTGCAGGGAATGACCAGAGACTGCAGACAGTGCAGGGAATGACCAGAGACTGCAGACAGTGCAGGGAATGACCAGAGACTGCAGACAGTGCAGGGAATGACCAGAGACTGCAGACAGTGCAGGGAATGACCAGAGACTGCAGACCTTTGGGGAGGGAGGGGGAGCGGGTACCTGAATTTGACAGGTACCTGCTCCCACTTCTGCGGAGTTGTCCTTACCTCTTCTTTCCCGGGCCGGCTTCTGTGACAGCCGGGTGCCCACTGCGCATGCGTGAGAAGCGCTGCGCTTTGTGAATGGCCCGGCACCTTCTGGGACCTGTCATGTGTCCCAGAAGACACCGGATCATTCACAAAGCGCAGCACATGCGCAGTGGGCACCCAGCTGTTACAGAAGCCAGCACGGGAAGACTGTGCAGCGCCTGGAGCGAGGAACAGGTAAGGCCCTGCAGGAGAGAACAGCTGAGCGGCCGGCCCGGTATTCTGACATGGTGGCGGCAGAAATACCGGACCGGCCGCTTTATATTCGCTCCATAAGACGCACTGACATTTCCCCCCCCTTTTTTTGGGGGAAAAAAGTGCGTCTTATGGAGCGAAAAATACGGTAATTCTTTGCTATAAGCAAATTGTGTACAAAAAAAAAAAATACTGATCACTTTCCCAAAGTAGTACAATGCTACTATGGTAACATTATACTACTATAGTCATAGTAAAATATGAAAAAAAAATCTCAAAAAAAGAAAAAAAAATAATAAAAAATAAAATAAAAATAGACCTAAAAAAAAATTATCAAAGGTAATATGTAAAAAAAAAAAAAAAAAAAAAAAAAAAAAAAAAGTGAACTTTTTTTTTTATTTTTCATTTTCCGAAAAATGACAAAAAAATTACAACTTCAAAAAACTCACCATGCCTCTTATATGAAACACGTCAGACTGTCTACTTTGCAAAAAGTGGTCATTTGGGGGATATCTGTACTGTCCTGACATTCGTGGACCTCAAGAAATTAGATTGGCCGTCAGTACTTCAGGATTGATCAATTTTCAGATATATACCATAGTTTGTAAACTCTATAACTTTCCTACAAACTAAATAATACATCCTAATTTGGGTTATTTTCACCAAAGACATGTAGCAGAATACATCTTGACCTAAATTTATGATGAATTATTTATTTGCAAACTTTTATAACAGAAACAAAGAAAAACATGTTTTTTTTTTTTTTCAAAATTTTTGGTCTTTTTTTGTTAATTTAGCAAAAAATAAACACCCCAGTGGTGATTAAATACCACCAAAAGAAAGCTCTAGTTGTGTGAAGAAAATGATAAAATTTTAGTTTGGGTGTGAGCGCTGAAACTGGAAAAATGGCCTGGGCAGGAAGGGGGTAAAAGTGCCCTGTATGGAAGCAGTTAAAATGAACAGCAAAACCTAATGAAAAGAATTTTGTGCTGCCTGCTCTTTGACAAATTTAATGCGAACGATGGAGCAGATTTTCAGATTTAAAAATTTCACTGAACTGAGGTTTGAAGCTTGAGGAGCCAATTATTAAAATGGACCTCAAATGATCATCTGATAAATTTGCTCGATATTTGGACTTGACATACTTTATTTTTGAAAATGTTTGTTCACAGTTATGTTGTACCAAAAACTGACGCAAGTCTACGAGCCAATTGCTTCAGATTTGGAAACTATTCAGGCTGCAAAGATTTATAAAATTCGATGAAGTTTCTTTCTTTATATTTCAGCATGTCATCTGATTGTAGGCCAATAGTTTCCAATTGAAACTGACTTGGGAGTGTTTCAAATGGATTATGAAACAGTTTTATTTCATCTACTTTCCCATTGAGATCAGAAAAGTGCTCCTGAAATTGTTTTTGGAAGTCCTGAATGAATTCATTTGCAAATGAAGGAAAATCTGTTTCACTTTCATCAATAAATTGTTTTCACAACGTGGGAAATGAACCAAATTGTGGCCTTTCACTTGCCCTTCAAACATCATCAGTTTTGCCCTAAATGATTTGACATGCACAAATAGGTCACAAACCAAATTTGTTTCCCCTTGAAATTTCAGATTCAGATGATTCATATGGTCTGTCAAATCTGTAAAAAATGCCAATTTCCAAAGCCAGTCAGTGTTTGATAAAAGTGGTTTGGGTTGATTCTTTTCTGTAAGAAATTAATTTATTGCTTCCTTGAGCTGAAAGAAGCATGATAGAACTGTTCCACAACTTAGCCATCGAACTGCTGTGTAATAAGACAAGTCTATGTACTTTGAATCAATTTCTTTCAGAAAATCACAAAACTGGCTATGATTAAGCCTATGAGATCAAATGAAATTCACTATTGAAACAACAGGTTTCAGAATGCAAGACATATCCACATATTTTCAACACAATGCTTGTTGATGGATAATGCAATGCAGAAACATGGGTTTTGAGAATCCACCAACCTCACAAACTTTTGTGATTTGTCCAACCAAACCTTTCTTTGCCCCAGACATGTTTTTTCCTCCATCAATTGTCACGCATTGCAGTTTATTCCACTCCAGGTTATATTCCGTCACAGTTTTTTTGCAATTCTTTGAAGATGTCTTCTCCAGTTACTGTGCTGTGCATGCTATGCACTAATGTCAATTCTTGTGTGACATTAAATTTACTGTCAACACCACGGATGAACACTAAAAGTTGTGATGAATGCACCTGCATATTTTTTGCTTTTTCTGCAATTTGATGAACTATATTGCTTCTATATCCTCAATTCTATGAGCAACTGTATTTGAGATCTCCATCAGTGAATGGCTTTCCTGTTTTAGAAAATGCATAAGCTACTTTGCAACTGGCCCTGGTTAAAGCTTCATTTTCACTTTTATTTTGTGTAAATAAGAGCCTTTTGGGAAAGCGAATTGCGTTGCTTCGATTTTAATTTTTCTGAGCGCTGTATTACTGTGAATTAGGAATAACTTGTTCACATTTTGTCTCATAGTGCCGACGCAAATAGTAGTCATTCAAAACTGCAACAGTTTCGTTGCATATGAGACACAAGGCTTTATCGCCTGTTTGTACAAAAAAGTACTTTATGCTCCATTGTTCATTAAACAGGCAGCACTCACTGTCTACTTTTCTTTTCTCCTTCCATACTTTAATGAAGGAGATACAGTCAGGTCCATAAATATTGGCACATCGACACAATTCTAACATTTTTGGCTCTATACGCCACCACAATCCACAATGGATTTGAAATGAAATGAAATGAACAAGATGCGCTTTAACTGCAGACTGTGAGCTTTAATTTGAGGGTATTTACATCCAAATCAGGTGAATGGTGTAGGAATTACAACAGTTTGCATATGTGCCTCCCACTTGTTAAGGGACCAAAAGTAATGGGACAGAATAATAATCATAAATCAAGCTTTCACTTTTTAATACTTGGTTGCAAATCCTTTGCAGTCAATTACAGCCTGAAGTCTGGAACGCATAGACATCACCAGACGCTGGGTTTCATCCCTGGTGATGCTCTGCCAGGCCTCTACTGCAACTGTCTTCAGTTCCTGCTTGTTCTTGGGGCATTTTCCCTTCAGTTTTGTCTTCAGCAAGTGAAATGCATGCTCAATCGGATTCAGGTCAGGTGATTGACTTGGCCACTGCATAACATTCCACTTCTTTCCCTTAAAAAACTCTTTGGTTGCTTTTGCAGTATGCTTTGGGTCATTGTCCATCTGCACTGTGAAGCGGTGTCCAATGAGTGATGAGTTCTGAAGCATTTGGCTGAATATGAGCAGATAATATTGCCCGAAACACTTCAGAATTCATCCTGCTGCTTTTGTCAGCAGTCACATCAATAAATACAAAAGAACCAGTTCTATTGGCAGCCATACATGCCCACACCATGACATTACCACCACCATGCTTCACTGATGAGGTGGTATGCTTAGGATCATGAGCAGTTCCTTTCCTTCTCCATACTCTTCTCTTCCCATCACTCTGGTACAAGTTGATCTTGGTCTCATCTGTCCATAGGATGATGTTCCAGAACTGTGAAGGCTTTTTTAGATGTCGTTTGGCAAACTCTAATCTGGCCTTCCTGTTTGAGGCTCATCAATGGTTTACCTCTTGTGGTGAACCCTCTGTATTCACTCTGGTGAAGTCTTCTCTTGATTGTTGACTTTGACACACATACACCTATCTCCTGGAGAGCGTTCTTGATCTGGCCAACTGTTGTGAAGGGTGTTTTCTTCACCAGGGAAAGAATTCTTCGGTCATCCACCACAGTTGTCTTCCGGGTCTTTTGGTGTTGCTGAGCTCACCGGTGCGTTCCTTCTTTTTAGGAATGTTCCAAACAGTTGTTTTGGCCACGCCTAATGTTTTTGCTATCTCTCAGATGGGTTTGTTTTGTTTTTTTCAGCCTAATGATGGCTTGCTTCAATGATAGTGACAGCTCTTTGGATCTCATCTTGGGAGTTGACAGCAACAGATTCCAAATGCAAATAGCACACTTGAAATGAACACTGGACCTTTTATCTGCTCATTGTAATTGGGATAATGAGGGAATAACACACACCTGGCCATGGAACAGCTGAGAAGCCAACTGTCCCATTACTTTTGGTCCCTTAACAAGTGGGAGGCACATGTGCAAACTATTGTAATTCCTACACCGTTCACCTGATTTGGATGTAAATACCCTCAAATTAAAGCTGACAGCCTGCAGTTAAAGCACATCTTGTTTGTTTCATTTCAAATCCATTGTGGTGGTGTATAGAGCCAAAAATGTTAGAATTGTGTCCATGTCCCAATTTTTATGGACCTGACTGTATCTAAAAAAGGAAAGGATTTGAGATTTTACACTTCCATCACAATTCAAATCACCATTACAAGAATGTCCCCACTTTCATCGGTGTCTCCATCAGAGTCCCTCCTTACGTCAGTGTCATCCTCCTCAAGATGCTCCTTTACATCCGTGTCCCCATCAGAGACTCCTTGCACATCCATGTCCCTATCAGCGCCTTTCCGCACGTGTGTCCCCCATCACCACCTTTCTGCACATGTGTCCCCCCATCAGCGCCTTTCCGCACGTGTGTCCCCATCACCACCTTTCTGCACATGTGTGTCCCCATCAGAGCCTTTTCGCACATCCGTGTCCCCATCAGCGCCTTAC